AAAATTTATATACATTCACACTTTGATATAGTACTTTCATTTCTATGCACTTATGTCACTGATAATAGGAGAATGTTTTCATAAATTAGAATTCAACACAATAGAATATTATCTTCAACATTAGAATTGTGAAGAGTACAGAAACAAAGAAAAAATAATGCACATTACAATTATGTGAAAACTTTTTAAAGAATTATAAAGTAATATGCAAAAGTAAAAAGCAGGTGGGTACTGAAATAATTTTTTATTTTTTTCATTTTTTTTTTATTTTTATTATTATATTCATATGTGCCTGAAATAATTTTTTAATAAGAGAAAAATCCTCCAATGCTGACCAGGTGTACACCTGTAATTCCAGCACTCAGGATGCTGAGGCAGGAAGACTGTGAATTCAAGGCTGGCCTAAGCTACACTGTGAGATCCTGTCAAAAAGAAAGAAGGAGGGGAGAAGGGAGGGAGAAGCGGGGAGAGAGAGACAGACAGACAGACAGACAGACAGGTGTGGTGATTCACACCTGCAATCCTAGCTACTTGGTAAGCAGAGATTGGATGGTCACAGTTCAAGACCAGCCCACCAGTGGCTCACACCTGTAATCCTAGCTACTCAAGAGGCAAAGATCAGGAGGATGGCAGTTTGTAGCCAGACGGAGCAAATAGTTCCTGAGACCCTATCTTGAAAAAACCCCTTCACAAAAAAAGGGCTGGTGGAGTGGCTCAAGGTGTAGGCCCTAGTTCAAGCCCCAGTACCAAAAAAAAAAAAAAAGAAAAGAAAAAAAACCAACCCAGGCAAAAAGTTCCAGAGACTCCATCTCAACCAATGAAAAAACTGAGTGTGGCCTGCCTAGCAAGTGTGAGGCTCTGAGTTCAAACCCTAGCACCACCAAAAAAAAAAAAAAAAAGCTGGGTGTGGTGGGAAGCTACATGGCAAGTGGAGATAGGAGGATTGGGATCCAGAATAGCTGGGGCGTAAGTAAATGCAAGGCCCTATCCCAAAAATAACCAAAGCAAAAAGGACTAGAGGCATGGCTCAAGTGGAAGAGAACCTGCTTCACAAACACAAGGCCCTGAGTCCAAACCCCAGTTACTCCTCCATGCTCCCCCAAAAAGGAAAAAGAAAAAATGAGAAAAGCCTTTAATATTGTAATACTATATAAAAACCAGTTTGAATTTTGAAGAAGCAACTAAATATAATTATAGTCCCTCTCTGCTCTGATTTCTCTTAAAATTTAAGCATGAACTATATAGCAATTCTTAGCCCAGACTAGCATTCTACAATCTACTTTGGGACATCGAAACATTTTCATCAATTCCCATGAAAGTAAAGCAACTGACTGTGGATGCTTCTGAATTTTCATTAATAATTTATTTAAACTTAATTTGGGGAACAATCTAGTTTAGCCATAACATTACTAGGAGAAAGTGGGAATATTTAGGGTATCAGATGAACAACTAGATGGGAAGAAATCAGTGCAAAGGTTGGAGAACTCTGCTTCTAAAGAGATTAAAAGAAACAAAACCAAAAACCTCCGTGAAAGCCCAAACAGCCTTTTGTTTTAAAAAGTATTCGTGACACCATGTCTAAAGACTGCTCTAGCCACCGCCCAGAGCTGGCAATTAAGCAGAGCCAGCTTTGGGGAAGAATCTCCCTCTAGAGAATCTGGAGCCATAGATGCTGACAGCCCACAGGAGGGATCAGAAACAGGTGAGGTAAACTCCTGGGACAGTCTTAGCTGAGGCACTGACAGGGAAACTCCTGAAGCAGGCAGTTTCCATAGCAGAGCTGGATCATTTACCCTTTCCAGCACTTGGATTTTGTTTGCAAGCAAATTGTTTAAACAATCAAAGGATTCAGTTGCCAAGAAACAATCTATGTCCCAGCTCATTATTTAGACAGCAAATACATCTACCACCACCAATGCAACCAGAACCTGTCCCCCAGCCAAGGCCAAGAACAAACAATACTGTGGATAACTCCTACATGCATCTTTCTTTCCAAGGGCCTCCTTGAAAATGATCTTTTCTGTGCTAAATTCAGTTAGTTCTTGTTCTCCTTCCTCTATTTGCTTCTAAAGATGTTCTGGGGCTGAATGGGGAGAAAAGCTATGTACTAAACTTTGTCTTCAGAATCAGGGAACTGAAAAGCTCTCAGGTAAGACCTTCCATTCCCCTAAAGTTTCTATAGTGCTTCTGCAAATGCAATTTGGGACTAGTAATATCACCATTAGGTAGGTATTTGTTAGAAATGCAAATTCCTGGGTCAGAGGCATGGCTCAAGCAGTAGAGCACCTCAAAAGCAGGAAGCTTGAGTTCACACCCCAAGACCACCAAAAAAAGAAATGCAAATTCCTGCCAGGCATGGTGTTGTGCACCTGTAATCCCAGTACTGAGGCAGAAGACCATGAGTTGAAGGACAGCACAGCTACATAGCAAGCCCCTACTACAAAAAAACAAGAGCTGCAGCTGTAACTCAGTGATAAAGAGACTGCCTAGCAAGTCCAAGTCCCTGGATTCTATTCCTAGCATCACAAAAAAAAAAAAAAAAAAAAAAGAGGGGGGAGAGAGAGAGAGAGAGAGAGAAGTTGGGCTTATGCCTATAATCCTAGCTACTCAGGAGGCAGAGATCAGGAGGATCAAGGTTTGAAGCCAGCCCCAGGCAAACAGTTTGTGAGACTCTATCTCAAAAATACCCAATACAAAACAAAGCTGGTGGAATGGTTCAAGTGATAGAGTGCCTGCCCAGCAAGCATGAAACCCTGAGTTCAAACCCCAGTACTGGAAAAAAAAAAAGGTCAGCAAATTCCTGGGTTCCAACCAAGCCCTACTGAAGCAGAATCAATTAGAACTCATATTGGTCCAGCCGTGTTTGCTTACAAAAATGCAAGAGGCACCTCTTGTTAGCAGACAACTATGCAGGGAAATAGCTACATTATCAGGTTGTATTCACAGACTCTCAAACCTGGATATTTTAAGATTTTTTTCCAAAAGGTACCAATTCTTTTGTATGGATGGCAAAGGGACCTAAATGAGAATTGACAGAATGAGCTGCCCAGTTGATCTCTTGCAGACACACCCGGGAGCAGTGGGAGCAAGTGCAGCCTGTGGCAGCCTCAGGGGTCTGTCCTAGTCAAAACTGCCTTGGAGGCGGAAAAAAAAACAAAAACTGCCGTGGGGAGTTGGGCTTCATCAACTAGTTCAAGTATCTATCTTCATCAATTAGTTCAAATGTTTACAGGATAAACATTTCCTGTAAAGGATCGTATTTTTCCATAAATACATGGTAGATAGCTTCTGTCACAAATATTCAACTCTAACATTATAGCATGGAAGTAGCCACAGACAGTATGTAAAACAAAATGTACTGAAAATGTATTTAACGGTGGAGACAACAAGCTAAATTTGGCCGGGCCGTTTGCTGTCCTAGGGAGTCAGGAGCTTGCAGTTCTAAATCTGATGTAGGAATTTTAGGGCTAGACATGCCCAAACTAACAAGTGCCTTTCTAGTCCAGAATCTCCTGGCGTGAATGGCTTCCAAGGAGTAGGGTCAAATGTAGGTAAAGCAAGCCTCCTGCATCCTCTTCCTCAGGCAAGCCTGACCCTGGGAATTGGGACTATTAGAAAGCATCTGTGCCGGTTAATCTGCATTATCAACTTGAGTAGATTGAGCAATGCCTAGGAGATTAGCAAAGCACATTTCTAGATGTGTTTATGAGGGTGTTTCCAGAGGATTAACTAAGGGAGGGAGGAAGAGCCCCCCCCCCACACTGCTACCAAACATAGGCGGCACCATACAACAGACTGGGGACTGGGATGGAATAAAAGGCGAAAGAGGAAGAAGCCTTTGGTGCAGGGAATCTCCTTGCTTCCTGGCTGCCATGAGGCAAACAGCTCTGAAAAATCATGCCCTCTTCCCCAAGATGTTCTGTCTTGCCTCAGGCTCAAAGCTTTGGAGCCCACCATGGACTGAAACTTCTGAAACCGCTAAAATAAATCCTTCCTACTTAAAACTGTTTCCCTCATGCATTCTTCACAGTGATGAAAAACTTCTCTAACAAAGACTGGGCTGAATTCACTAAGCATAAGAACTGAATTGAGTTCAGCAACAGAATACCTTGCCATACTAAACTTTTCCTCAGAGATACTAACCAATGCTCACTTTAAAGGCTTTGAAAGTTATAAAACTTATGTGTTAAGATTTTACTGACAGTCAAAACTTTCAAAGATACACTCCATATTAGTCAGCTTTTGGTCACTAAAAAGAAATACCCATAACCGGCTACTTATGAGGAAAAGCTTTTTTTTTTTTTTTTTTTTAATTTAGTTCACAGTTTTGGAGGTACAAAAGCATAATAGTGGCATAGGCTCTGTTTTGATGAGGGCTGTGTACTCTCACTTGAGTGCTTTCTCTCTGTTTTCCTAGATAAATCACATCACAGTGGTGGAAGAGCTTACATGACCAAACAGGAAGCCAGGGAGACTAGGATCCCACAATCCCTTCTGAAGACTCCAAAGACTTAAGCATCTCCCACTAGACCCCATCTCTTAAAGGCTCCATCATCTTCCAATGCTGCCATTCTGGGGAGCAAGTTCCCAAAACATGAATCTTTAGGGAGACACAAGCCATATTCAAATCATAGCATACTCTGACTCAAAAGCTTAGTCATTACACCAAAATATAAGAAACATTTAGAAAAATACAGATTTAGTTAAAGCAAGAAACTTAAGATTGTGATGTCACCTTAACATTTTACATTGAATCTATCATTTATACTTATTCCAAATACATTTCTTGCCAAAAATATGGGCATATCCCCATCACAAAACAGACCTTTACAATTCTGACTTCCATGTGCACCTGATACTATCCTTGCATCAGTTCATATTTTCCAGGCAAATTAGCATTCATAATCCACACCTTTGATTTTGCCAAAACAACAAAAACTTAAAAATAGACACATATACATAACACTCATATGCCTTTAAAGTCTTATAATATGATGGACTTACATTCAAAATATTTTATAGAAACAAAAAAAAAAAAATGAAGTCAATTTCAATCAGTATGTCCATAGTCCTTGACCTCTAATTGGAAAGCTTCAAGATGTCTTTGAATAAGATCCTGAACACGGGACAGAATAATCTCATTAGAGCTGCTGCAATTTTCTGGGTCATATGGTGGGTCTATAGTCAGAACCCCAGCCACACAAAGAGTCCTTGGTGAATCTCCCTGTTCAGTGACAGGGATGTGGTTCTTCTCAAGCCATTTCTTCAGGCTGTTCTTTCTCTTTTCCAGATCCTCAGGGCTGTGTCCTTGGCAATCTCCAGAAATGAACAAATGCATCAGCTTCTCTCTTACTTTGTGGTCCCCTTCATTCACAGTTTCAACAGTCTGCACAGAATGTCCCATAACTCCAGTTACAGATAAGCTGCCATCTTCAAGGAAGTTCACGAGGACAATACTTTGGAGGAAAAGTAAGTTCAGAACAAATAGCTCATAACACTATGAAAGAAGTAATGGAGTAAGAGGCATCATCAACCCAAACAGGTCACCAGAAGAAGAGGGACCAATCTTTGGTTTGAAATTAATCTTCTCACCAACAAATGCTTTCACTTGTTCAACAAACACTGAGAATCCCAAATATCTATAAAGTTTTTGCTTAGCTTAAAGCTAACCATTGTAGTCCACAGCTAATCTATTACCTAATGAGTTAACAGGGTTGGTGGCTCAGTGGTAAAGTACATGCTTAGCGTGCATAGGGCTGAGTTCCATCACTAGTACCAAAGGAAAAAAAGAAAGAAGCCGTGCATGGTGGCTCACACCTGTAATCCTAGCTACTCAGGAGGCAGACATCAGGAGGATCCCTGTTTAAAGCCAACCTAGGCAAATAGTTCAAGAGACCCTATCTCAAAAAATCTCTTCACAAAAAGGGCTGGTGGAGTGACTCAAGGTAAAGGCCCTGAGTTGAAGTCCCAGTACCACAAAAAAAAGAAAATCAAATCAAAGCGGGCTGGTGGAGTAGCACAAGTGGTAGAATACCTGTTTACCAAGTATGAGGCCCTGAGTTCAAACCCCAGTATCACCAAAAGAAAAGAAAACAACAAAACAGAAAATTAATGAAGTAGAAATCAAAAGTCAGTAAAAGGATCATCAAATCCAAAAGCTGTTCTTAGGAAAAAAAATACATAAATTACAAAACTCAGGCAACACTAAGAGTCAGTGAGAGACAGCACACATACAAATATTAGTAATTAAGTAGCAAAGATTAACAGAAAATACTAAGAACAAATTTATGACAAAGGACAAACTTTGAAACTTAAAACAGAAATCTTTCTAGGAAAATGTAAATTACTAGTGCAAAAAAAAAAAAAACAGACAGATAGGCAAGGTGGCTCATTCCTATAATCCCAGCTACTGGAAAGGTGGATATCAGGAGGATTTCAGTTCAAGGCCAGCCTAGGCAAAAGTTAGTGAAACCCCCATCTCAATCAACAAACTGGGTATGGTATCCATTATTTTATTCACTTTACCTTTTTTGTATGTTTGAAATTTTTCATTAACAATATATTCTAGGACTAGCAGTGTAGCTCAAGTGGTAGAGCGCCTGCCTAGCATGCATGAGGCTCTGAGTTCAAACCCCAGTACCACAAAAAAAAAAAACAAAAACCAATACATTCCAGCTGCTGGAAGGCATACGTATAAAGATGGAGGTCTGAGGCCAGCCCCAGGTGAAAAAAAACCTCAAGCACCTACCTGAAAAACAACTCAAAGCAAAAACGGGCTAGGTGCATGGCTCAAGTGGTAGAACACCTGCCTAGGCCCTGAAGCACCAGGCCCTGAGTTCAATACCACCAAAAACATAAAAGAGAGAGAGAAGTAGTCCTATAATATTTAATAAAAAGTGAGTAATTAACAATATTCCCATGGAAGGTGGGAAAAAAAAGACCCACAAAATTTTATTGACAAGTTCTATAAATTTTTCAAAGATCAAGAATTTCTAACCTAACCAAATTCTTCTAGCAACTACAAAAGAGGGACTATACCTTAACTCATTTAATGGGGCTCACAGTATTTTTCTTTTTTTGAGACCGAATCTCACTACTGTATCCCAGGCTGGCCTCAAATTCACCATTATCCTCTCTTAGCCTCTAGAGTGTTGGGAATACAATTATATGCCACTATACCCAGTTAGCTTAATATAATCTCACCTTTTTCTTCTTTTTTTTTTTTGGCAGTACTGGGGTTTGAACTCTCAAGGCCTCATGCTTGCTAAGGAGGCACTCTACCACTTGAGCCATTATGCCAGCCCAAGGTTAATATAATCTCAATGCCAAAACTAGAGGTCAGGATGAAAAAAGAAAACTATTAAGCTAATTCTACTCATGAACACAAATGCCAAAATAATGAATAAAATATAAATTATATAAAACGTTATGATGCGATGAGAAGGGAATTTCACTTCTTCCCAAAATCCTATAACCGCTTATAAGAACATTACACAAATCCAAATTGAGAGACATTCTACAAAATATCTCACCAGTACTTTTCTAAACTGTAAGGTCATAATAAACAAGAAAAGACCAAATAACTCACAGATCAGGGAAGACTAAGGAAATATAGCAAATGTAACCTGAGATCCTGCACTGAATCCTAGCACAGAAAAAGGCCACTAGTAGAAGCACTGTACAAACTGTATAACATGGATAGTTTAATTATTGCAAATACTTAGCTTGGACAAATGTACCATGAATGTGTAAGATGTGAACTTTAAGGAAAGCTGAGGAAGAGTATATGGATACTCTGTAATTTGTCACTTTTCTATAATCCAAAGTCATTCTAAAACAAAAAGTGTGTTTGGTACCTCCACAATTTTGCAAAAAATAAATTTGATCCTAATCAAACCTCTAGATCTGAATGCCAATTTATAGGAAATATGGGAAATAAAAGAACATGCTAAACTATACCATAATAATGTAACAAGTTAAATTCAGTATGTCCAATTCTGTAAGGCAAATGACCTAGATTCTTCAAAAATAAATGGCATGGAAACCAAAAAAGGGGAAAGTGCAGAGTCACAGATTAAGATACTTAAGAGACATACTGGGTTGGTGGAGTCCCTCAAGTGGTAGAGTGCCTGCCTAATAGGCGGAGGCCCTGAGTTCAAGTCCCAGTGCCAGCAAAAAGAAAAAACCTGGAAATTAGCAAATATTAAGGAAATTGTCATTAAATTTGTTAGGTGATCTAAGGTGTTATTATTTTGTTAGGTCTATAAAATTGTGGTCACATTTGCTAAAACATCCATGTCATTTAAGAGGTATGTTGAAATATTTGCGAACAAAAATTATAAAATGTCTAGAATTGGTTTTAAAATATTTGGGAGGAGGTAGAAAGTTATTGTGTGCATTATATTACTCACTTTACCTTTGTGTATGTTTGAAATTTTTCATTAATAATACATAAGAAGCTGGAGGTGTGGTTCAAATGGTAAAGCATCTGCATAGTAAAAGTGAGGCACTGAATTCAATCCCAGTACTACAAAACACAAACAATTCTATATCCCATTCCTATGAATTTTTCTAGTCTGATAGATAATTCATCGTTAAAACAACACTTGGATTCAAAGGTAATTAACCTCTTCTGTGAAAATAATTAGGCTTTTATCGATCTGCTTTCTTCCTTTGGATATAATACACAGGGAACACAAAAGACTGTCATGATTTTAAGGAAGTATGATGCATACTCACTTGGCAGAGACGGGGTCTGCAGTTAAAAACCATCCTTTATACTCCTTCTTCTCACTGGCTATTACTCTGACTTCTTTATAAACATAACCTTTCCATTCTAAGGGACTTTTCTTTGTCCATTCACTCATGTTGCCAGCTACCTAAATGCAAAACCATCACCAGTTTGAGTTAATATAATGTTACATACAAGAAAATGTCTTACCTCTAATCTCCATCCTAGAGGCACATAGCACCTGTGATTTGCCTCGAATTCTTAATCCAAGTTCGGAATTAACATATTGAGTTAACCTAGACCAGATCCCTCATTCTTCAAGTGAGGAAACTGAGGCCCAGAACAGTTCAGAGACCTGCTCTCCAGAGTGTCATGTGTCAATGTAAAATACCAACTTTACTTTACAGCAACAACCTAAAAAAAAAAATCCTCTTACCTTTCTACAGCATCTTAAGGACCCTATCAGAAAGCATACCACGTGGACTCAGAGTCACAGGTGACAGAGGTTCTCCTCAAAGATAAATTTCTGACAGTCAGCCGCAGATATTCGTAAAAAACTCAGACTGTGGCTGAAGGGAAGTCATTAAGCCAAGTAATACAGCTAGACATGTCTGTATTTATAGCTATGTCTGTATGTCCGGGACCTTACTACAGGAGAGAAAAGATAAGAGACACCATGGCCTCATGGTGGACAGGAGGGGCACTTCTGCAGAGAATGCTTAAGGGTGGACAGCCTGGGAGACAGCCCCGCCCCTAACCGGGACCCTGCGCTCTGCAAGGGTAACCACTGGAGGTCTAAGTGCCCCTGTCACCAGATGGAAGGTGAGGTGCCTCCTCCTATGGTTTGACGGGTCCCAGCCTCCTGTTCCACACTCCACTTCTTGGCATCAATGTTGAGGAGCCATAATGGCAGAAAAACAAAAGGTCATTTTCCTCCTAGACAGTGGAGCCCGTTTCTCTGTTTTACCTTTTTCTCCTGGTCCCTGGTCCGATGACAAAAGTTATCATTCAGGGCAAATCTGGGTCTACTTTTCCCCCCTTTCCCAGAAAGTAAACCCCTAACCCCAAAATGGAAAGGTCCCCCCAAAAATCATCCTCTGCACTCCTACTGCAGCCCGGTTGAGGAAACCCCAGGGAAACTAACATCTTGGATTCATATTTCCAGGCTAAAGCCAGCCTGATCCCCCCAGGACATCCAACAGGATGACCCCGTCGGCCCTTCCTCTCTGCTCCCTGCTTTCTTCTCTCCTGGCTTCGTTTGCACCCCCTCCCTTGGAAACGCCTTAAAAATTCACATCTCTCAGCTTCGTGTTCCCTCCCCCATCCCCGAAGATGTGCCTTAACCTTCCCCTTTTGTTCTCTCTTCTCAATCTCCTATTTGTGGGGGTGCTGACTAGCACCGACCCATGGGACAAGAGATGGGTTCAGGGTGAAAAGGCAGCCATTCATGCTCAGGGTGACTCCTCAAAACCCTCAGCTCACATTATGATATCCAGGGAACTAACCCTTCCAATCACCACTCAGAAGGAGGTAGCTACTAAGGTTCTACAATCCGAACAAAACTTACACAAATCCCTTCACCAGCCCTCCACTCCCCAACCTGGCTCCAACTATTCCAAGCCTCACTACAACTCCTAAACCTAACCGTGCCCATAAATGTCACTGACTGCTTTCTTTGTGCCTCCCTCCAGCGCCCTTTACTGGCCGCAGTTCCCATTAATGCTTTGTCTTCTATCAAAGCTTCCCCTGCCTTGTGGAACTTCTCATGTGCTCCTCCCTTGCCCTCTGTACCTTTATGGAAACCTGACTTTGCACAAGGTCCTCCTCCCACACACACCTGCTATGTCCAGTCCTCAGTGCCTTGGTCCAACTTTTCTCTCTCCTGTCATACAAATCTTACCATTGCAGAACAACTGGCATCCCCCCTGGGGCTATATTTCTGGTGCCACAACACCCTATACTCTTGCATAACTCAAGCTACTCCTGGGCCCTGCACACTGGTAGTTATAGTCCTCCAACTCACTCTCTACGGGGAAGCTGAATTTTCCCTCCTATTTGGCGCTCGACCAAAGTGCACCGGTGGCCTTCTTGACCATCATGGTTGGTATAAGTCTGGCGACCTCCGTTGTTGCTGCAGGCTTTGTGGGGGGAGCCCTTGGCCATAGTTTTATTTCAGCAAAAGACTTTGAAGATCGCTTACATATCACCCTCAAATCCACCTCAGCCTCACTGGCCTCCCTTCAACGTCAGCTCACTTCTCTAGCCCAGGTGGCCCTACAAAATCACAGGGCACTAGACCTCTTAACAGCTGAAAAAGGGGGCACCTGTTTCTTCCTCCAGGAGGAATGTTGCTACTATGTCAATGATTCTGGACTAGTAGAACAAAATGTCAACAAATTAACAGACTTGGCTGAGGACCTCCAAAAGACACCCACTAAAAACACCTTAACCAACCTACTAAACTCTCCTCTCGTCACCTGACTCCTGTCTTTCTTGGGCCCTTTGCTCACGCTCATTGCTCTATGCACCCTCCTACCCTGTTTACTACAATTTCTCAGATCCCAGGTAAAAAAAAATCTCTAATCAAACTCCTAGACAGTGGAGCCCGTTTCTCTGTTTTACCTTTTTCTCCTGGTCCCCGGTCCAATGACAAAAGTTATCCTTCGGGGCAAATCTGGCCATCCCCTAGAGCACTAGTTGACCTGGCCTCTGGCCTGCTCTTGGGGAGACCTCCTCTTCTGTCACTCTTTCCTCATAGTACCTGAAACTCCAGTGTCCCTGCTGGGACAGGATTTACTATCTCAATTAAAAGCTCAAATTCTCCTCCCCCCAGGCAGTTATCTCTGCTGCCCCCTCCTTCAGGAACAAAGAGACTCCACAATGTGGACTGATGAGATGAGTGTAGGGTGAGTCAGGATAGCCCTCCCTATTCAAATAAAACTCAAAAATCCCTCACAGTTTCCACACCAAGCCTGAGGGACGATGAGGCCTTACGCCTATTCCTAAAAACAATAAGGGCTACAAATTAGTTGCTCCAGCCCCTATAATAAATTTAAAATTCTTATAAAAGTTAATTTTAAAACACAAGTTACAAAGTAAACAACTGGAAAGGATACAGATAAGTAATAAATGTATTTTTTGAGAAGTTAAAGGAAAAAAGGAATGGTTTTTTGGATGAGAAGGGATTTTGTAAAGAAGGGTTTGTCCTAAAGATTGTTTCAAATAGGAAGGATAAGGACAAACCATCAAAGGGTTTAGCATGTTGTATGAAGGTCTGAGTAAGTTTGAAAAGTGTATAATAAAATCTTCGGTGTATGATAAAGTTATAGTTGAATATAATCTAAGAGTTGCCTAAAAGATTTTTAGGATCATGTCAAGCTAAAATCAAACCGTCTATGTCTATGAAATAACAAGGTTATCTTAATATTGTTCTGCTCTGAGTAACATCTACAAAAAAACCATTACAGAGAAAGATTTTATCAAAGAAATTATTTGTGTTTTCTGCTGATCTTGTCAAGCTTTTAAGTACTACTAAATCAGAGTTCATTTACATATTTGCTTATGTGTCTTAAATGACCACCTTGTAACAGTGTTATGTTACACTTTATCTAAATATGGTACGAATATTTAAAAGGTTAAAAGTGTCAATTTATATAAATAATGAGCTAAAGCTTTCTTTTATCCAAGAGTGTTACATTTAAATCCTGACAGCCCCTGCCTCCCACAGGTCACCTACCTAGGTGTGGCCTTAAAGGGACAGACTCACTCCCTGAGTCTTAAATGCATCAACCCAATCTTCTGTTTCCCAACCCCCATACCATAAGACAGCTTACAGCTTTCCTGGCAGTTATAGGATTTTGCAGAATTTGGATCCCTAAGTACGCAGTCCCTGAACAAACACCTTTTTATGCTCCTCCTAATATTCCTATTTGGGTCTTAGATAATGTATGGCCACCCATTTCTCTTAGAAAACTTGCCTCTAACAGACTCTGCTCCTCTGGCTGACTACCTGCCTTCTCAAGGAACTTCTCAGAGAGCATGCAAACCAGATCCTGCCCCATCCTATAACAATTTCTGCTAAACCAGGGCATCTTGTTCTCCAAAAAGGATCTTCTACCCTCTCCATTGGGACTTCGATGGACCAGCCCTCATCTGGTCATTCTCATGACACCCACTGCTGTCAAGTTCAATGGGTTCCCCCAATGGCGGCACCTCTCAAGAAACAATTAGAAAAATGGAGTCTACGGCCACACCACCCTGAACGTGCCCGATCTCGTCTGATCTCGGAAGCTAAGCAGGGTCGGGCCAGGTTAGTACTTGGATGGGAGAAAAATGGAGAAGGGAATTGGAGGACTCTTGAAATTGTCTAGGGAACAGCATTTCACAGTGGTTCACCTGGCCAATGCCCATCCTAATGCCTATGTTTCTTGCTCTCCTATTCTTAGGCCTCCTCCCTTGTATCATACTACATGTCTGCTATTGCTAATCAAAAATTAACCAGTTGTACCTCCAGGGATACCAACCTCTCCAAAACCGCCCAGAGGACTGCTATGACGGCCCCCACCAGGACACAGGAGCCTAAGGAGACTGCCCCATACAACGCCCCCTGCCAGCAGATCTCCTTGCTTGGCTCTTACCCCTCCTCGGACCTATATTCATGCTGATTGCCTTTTGCACCCTCCTACCTTGTCTGTTAAAGTTTCTACAAACCCAGGTCAACAAAATCTCTAACCAAACCTTTAACCAGCTTCTCCTTCAAGGATACCAACCCCTGATAGCATAACCAGAGGACACCTATAATGGACCCTACCAGGACACCGGGTTATAAACATCAACAACCCCTTACAGGACGCCTGCTACAATTCCTCAACTCCCTACGCGAAGATTGATGCTAATACCCGCCATATGGAGCCCAGAGGATTGGCTTGAGATTCTCTACGACCTATGGTTACAAGGGACCTTCATCAACTTCAGGGAAGAGGAAATTTTCATTTTCGGAGCCTGGGTGTACGCCATCATGAGGCTCAGCACCCCAACATTGTTTGCCAACTAACCCTCCCTTCCCCTACGCCGCCCCTTGCCAGCTCAAAGAAGCCAGAGTGAACACAACGCCCCCCCTTCCTTAACAAGCAAAAAAGGGAGGTATGTTGGCAATAATTGCGCAGATAGGTTTCGGTTCTTACTGCACCCTTAAGCTCCTGTTTTCCAGGGTCACAGTCCTGCCTCAAGTCTAGCTTGAATTCTCCTTCTGCCCCAATCAGCATGAACCATAAGATCCTAACCAATCAGATCATGCCTGAGTCTCACTGATGGGTATTTAAATCTCTCTCTCTCTCCCTCCCTCTCTTTCTCTCCTTCTCTCTCTCTCTCCTTTCTCTCCCTCTTTTTCTCTCTCCTCTCTTTCTCTCCCTCTTTTTCTCTCCTTTTTCTCTCTCCTTCTCTTTCTCTCCCTTTTTCTCTCTCCTCTTTCTCTCCCATTTTCTCTCTCCCTCTCTTTTTCTCTCTCCTCTTTTTCTCTCCTTCTTTCTCTCCCTCTCTCTCTCTCTCCCCTGTCTCTCCCTCTCTTTTTCTCTCTCCTCTCTCTCTCCCTTTTTCTCTCCTTCTCTCTCTTTCTTTCTCTCCCTTTTCTCTCTCCTTCTCTCTCTTTCTCTCCTTCTCTCTCTCTCTCCCCCCCCTCTCTCTCACTCTCCCTCTCTCTTTTTCTCTCTCCTTCTCTCTCTCTCTCTCTGCCAGCTCACTCCACGTGGTCACTTTGAGGCCTACATGGTTCATGCTGATTGGAGATTGGGGCAAAAAGGAGTTCATGCTAGACTTCAGGCAGGACTTAAGGGTGCAGTAAGAACCTAAACCTATCGGCGCCATTATCGCCGACACGAATGACTGGGTGCAATGTGGAAACAACTGGCACCTTCCACTCCGACCTCCCACTCCATGTCGCCTTCCCTCTGCTTTGAACTTGGTCTGCACATGATGCTCATACCCTCAAGCCCTCTTGCCTTCGGGCGAAGGAGTTCGCCCCACGCCCCCTTTGAGCTAAAAACTGAGGCGCAGTTATTCTCTGAGGTTCACCCTTTCTGTCCACGGGATCCCACCACCAATTTGTGCCAATTTCTCCTAAAAGTTGAAGGAAGCTCCAACAAGGGGTCAGCAGCGCTCGCATTCTAGGTCCTGTCCTGAAGCTGCACGATACTTACAGCGTATTCCAACCAAGCGGTACTTAACGTTTCATGGTGACAAACGCGGAACAGACCAGTCAAAGCTCAGAACTACGCCAGCTACTCGGCAGCCACGCTGAGCCGAGCAAGCCTTCAGCAAAGCCCGCCGGAGACCAGCATGCTTCGCGCCTGACGTCACTTCCTTCCCCCAGAATTCCCTGCTTTGTAGTCCAGAATTCCCTGCTTTGTAGTCCTGGGCCTTGGTTTCTCGTGGGGCGGGGAACGGGGAGGAGACTGAGAGAATATGTGTAATGGGACATTTCAAAAGCTAGGCAATCGCTCTATCACTTCAACCATGCTCCCATTGGATGCTCCCAATCCCTCAAAAATTTTTTTTTCTATTTTTTTTTTTGATACAGGGTCTCGCGTTGTAGCCCAGGTTTGGCTGGAGTTCTCCATCCACCTGTCTCAGCCTCTGAGTGCCGGGAGGCGTGCATCACCACGCCACCCCTACTTTTTTTTTTTTTTTTTTTAAGAGTTAACAGTTCGTACCAGGTCCTTAACGATAGTAGGCATGGAAATGCACTTTTGCCATGGGGTCAAAGCACATAAGTCGTTTGGGCAAAGCTCCAAGAGTATGAAGGGAATAGCCGAGCGGGAGAAGAGCAAGGTATTTCTTGTTTGGCAATTAAAGTGCCTGCTTCTTTGGTTTGTGCCCTCTGCATGTCTTGCGAGTGGTGCAGAAGCTGGAGAGAAATGCACTGGATTGGGTTGAATTCCACCTAGCAGATTACTCACTATAAATCCCTCCAGTGGAAAAGTGCAGAACACTTGCTTCTGTTACGTATTGCTGGTCATGTACTTAATTGGCTTCTGATTTCTGCAGTCTCTTGAGGGACTATGACCCTGGAAAGTGGTACAAAGTGACAAATGCTAAGTTTCTAAAATTTGTGAAAACCTAGGGAGATTTACAAAAACTGAATTAGACGACTATCAAAGTGTAGAAAACATTAAATGTCAATCAGCTTTTCCATTACTTCTTGGAATTCTATATAATCTTTGAAGTATATTGTTTCTTAATGTTATCAATTGAAATAATCCTTTCCCAAACTTTGCTCATTGAATGATTGGCTGATACTACTGTGGCGTTAGTAGATTAAATTAGATCTTGCCAGATAAGTCCCTCTGTAAATCTACAAAGAGCTAGTGTAAATTCCAACTATTTTATAGTGTGGAGGAAAACATTTGAACTCATAAAAATTCAATTTGGTGGGGGATAGGGGGAGCAATGACCCAAACAATGTGAATAAACGAATATAAATTTAAAAATTAAATTTATGTTGAAATCCAGATATAACTAGATGCTAACAAGTTGAAAACCCTATCATTTTATACCTATCAAAGAAACTTTTTGAGATGAGGTCTCACTATGTTGCCCAGGCTGGTGTTGAACTCCTGGGCTCAAGCAACCCTCTAGGGTCAATGTCCTAAGCACCTGGGACTACACATGCATGCACTATGGCCTGCTTAACTTGTTTTATGAGTCGATAAACAGGCTGCAGAGAATGGAAAATTTTTAAATTATGGAATGACATGATTCAATCATTGTGTTGGAAAGGATACAGGGGGGTTAGGAGTGTAGCTCAGTGATACAACACCTCCTGCGTGTTCGGGGCCCAGCACTCAATTCCCAGCAACAACAACAACAAAAAAAAGTGAAGGGGAATATGCAGAAAAAATTGGATGTGGGGGGAAAATGGGGGAAGTATAAAGCATATACACAAAAACTTTACAGGAAATATACTCTGCCAACTAAAACAGTCTTAAGAAGAAATTTCCAGAAGTACCACCTCTCTAATGGAAAATCCAATTTTAAAAAGGTATATCTCTAAATTGAGTATTGTTATGTGCCCTACCCAGAGGGGAGGTTTCACAATAGAGTGAAGATAGACTTGTTTTTCTGGGTTGAACAGATTTTTTGTGAACTCTAAAGCATTAAGCCAATGTAAAGCAAGAAGTGTGTGTGTGTGTGTGTGTGTGTGTGTGTGTGTGTGTGTGCATTTTAACTACTTCTGGAAGCTGGGTGTGGTGGTTCATGCCTATAATATCAACACTTGTTAGGCAAAACTTTTTTGCCTCTGCCTGGGTACAATAGGGAATCACAGTCTCAAAACAAACAACAAAACAACAAAAACCTTCTGGCTGGGGATGTAGCTTAGGAGTAGAGCACTTGTTTAGCATGTGAAAGGCTCTGGTTTTCATCACAAACACCACAAAAACAAATCTTATAACTAAAAATCAATGCTTATTCAATGAAGTGAGCAATCAAAGTGGTAAAATGTACAGGTTTTACATAGACTTCATTTTTATTTGAAAAGAAAATGTGGTGTTACTTTTTTTTCTTTTGGTGAAACTGGGGTTTGAATTCAGGGCTTTGCACTTGCTTGAGTCACACCTCTAGTACTTTTTGCTCTGGTTATTTTGGAGATAGGGTCTGAGAATTATTTGCTAGGGCTGGCCTTGAATTGCAGTCTTCCTGATCTCAGTCTCCCAATTAGCTAGGATTATAGGCATGAGGAAATGGCGCCCAGCCTATTAACTATTTTTTTTTCCTAGAACTGCCTTGGAAAAAAAAAAGAATATTCACCACTGAGTTACTGTTCCTAAAGACAACTGCAGTGGTCCAGACAAGAAGAAAAGTCCTAGCCTAGGCTGACAGTAGTGGAAATGAAAAAAAAAAAAATCAACAGAATTTGAGCTCAGAGCCTCGTGTCTTGGAGCTCATTAGGCAGACACTCTACCACCTGAGCCACACCGACAGTCCTTTTTTGTTCTATTTTTCATGTAGGGTCTCACTTTTTGCCTGGGGCTGGCCTCAGACTGACATCGAACCTGTGGTCTCTCATGTATCTGGAATTGCAGGTGTGCACCATGCTAGGCATATTTTGTTGAGATAGGATCTTGATAACTTTTTGCTTGGGCTGGCCTCAAACCAGCAATCCTCCCAATCTCTGCCTCTGGAGCTCAACAGATATTTCAAAGGAGGAATCCATGGGATTTACTGTTTGATTAGATTGGAATAAGATCTTATTCAGAACTTTGAGGACTCCAGGCCTTTCACAAAAATTCTCTTTGTTCTTTCCTTCATTCATAAACCCCTTCCTTCATTTTTTTTCAGGCTTTCAGGACCCTTCAGGTAGTTTTTATTAAGACATGGAATAAAAAAAGAGCTTCAATAGCCCCTTATCAGTGTTTATGGTACAAGAAGGCAAATGAGATACCTCTTCCAAGCTCTAATAAACTGACCTCCAAACGAAAGTAACTGAATGTGATTAGATCCATTTGCACAAAGACCATCTGTAATCTGGAGGACCAAAGAATGTGGGAACAACTGTCACTCTAAGACAGGAGGTAGGACTGGGAAAATAAGATTGTATGTGGAAGCAAGTTTATTTTAATTATTCAATAATCCAAGGTTGGCAGCAGAAAGGCCAGAAAACTAGGACATGGGGGTATCTCTCAGAGACCCAGAATTTGGGAGACAGGGATTTTGTATGCAGGTGTTACCCTGGTTTGGAATAGATGTTCCTAAAACTATCTACCTCCCAGTGTTGTGATTCCATGACCACACTGCCTTATAACTCAGCTGGCTTTCCAGATATACTTTATCAAGACATGAGAACTTTCCAGTCAATAGAAAGGAATAGATCAGAAGACCAATAAGTCATATCAGAATGCACAGCTGAGTCTAGTCTGACCTGTGCATGTTAAAAATCATCTTAATTTGAAAGTCTTTTTTTCTGTTTCTTTTTTGTTTTTTCTTTAAACAACTCTTTCCTTTTTTTTTTTTTTCAGCACTGGGATTTGAATTTAGGGTCTCATGCTTACTAGGCAGGTGCTCTACCACTTGATCCACTCTGCCAGCTTGAAAGCCTTTAGTTAGGCTTGTTATCTCTACTTGGCAGCTTCCACCATGTTTATTGCTTTACTCTTGGTTGCTTCGTATATTTACATTACCTGCCTGATCTCTGTAGGAATTTGCGTTTGCAACTATGAAATAGTCTGTAGTATAAACAAGTAAATTGGCAGAGTATATTATTTCTCAATCTTTTGTAAGTTTGGTGACAATCAGTCTCTGTCTAATCAACTCTTGGCCCAGTCAGAGTCCAGGACTGGGCTGTGGGCAGTAACTTCACCAAGGTAATGCCATTCCAAGATTTCTTGTCAGACTCCCATAGTCTTCTCCAAGTGATTCCTTATCTCCTTGTCACCTGCCTACTCTTTTCAGTTGTGCCCCTCAATACCATTTTGTAGTTTGTTGTCAATTACATATGTGTTGTGGCCTATGTAGGTTGGTTCACTTGCCAGCTCTTTTCCAAAAACCTAATGAGGGCTGGGTGCAGGTGGCTCATGTCTAATCCTTGCTACTCAGGAGGCAGAGATCAGGAGGATCGAGGTTCTAAGCCAGCCTGGGCAAAGAGTTCGCAAGACCCTATATCAAAAAAAGAAAAAAAAACAAACCACCCCCCCCAACACCCACACACAATAAAGGGGCTGGTGTAGTGGCTCAAGAAAAAAAAGAAAAAAACCTAATGAGGTTTGAAAGCTAAAATTTAATCCTTAGCTCTCCTTGAGGTAAGAGTGGTCATACAAGCTGATGATGTCTAGCTCAGTGGTAGAGCACCTGCCTAGCATGTACCAAGGCCCTGGGTTCAATCCCCAGAACTGCCAGAAAAAAACCAAAGTGACCATATGAGTATCTCTAGCCAATGAGGTATCATGGAAGTCCCTTTGCCATTCTTTTTATAGCCTGCTGGGACTGGACAGAAAGCTTGGAGGTGACGTAGCCTCTTCCCACTATGTGGAAACATGCATGACAAGGTTTATATGCCAAGCAAAAAGATAAAAGAACCATACCAGATCTGAATTCCCACCTTCAGATTGCTTTTTGTTTTTGATGCTGAAGATTGAACTCAGGGCTTAGAGCAAACCAGGCAAGTGTACTCTACCACGTCAGCCGTGTTCCAGCCCCAAGTATTTTGTCTCCACCCAACAAACCCTTTTCTAATTTCTCTATTAAGGTCCTTCGAGGGAGAAAACATGCTTCATCTTATACCTTTAGTACCGTGATCAATGCCTACATGTAGTAGATGTTCAATATATATTTGTTTAATCAAGTAAGAAAATTGCTATTCATTGGAAGAAGCTGGGATTGTTTAGAAAGCATAAAACTGCAATTTAGGAAGAGTTACTCATAATTGACCAAGATAAACTGAGAACAGAAAAGGCAGATTAGGCCAAATTTTAGATTGGCAAAACAGTAAAAAAAAAGGGGACCTTTGCTTTTCTAAGAAAGTTCTCTACACTGAAGAACAATGCATGATTATTCTTAGTAGTAACAATAATAATAAATATCGGGTGTATCTTGACACAGCAAAATCATGAGATAGTGAATATTATTGTCACTGTTTTGCATATAAGAAAAGCAAAGCAGAGAGGACCATTGGCAGAAAGCTAGTTAGTAACAGAGATATAATAGATATCCAGGTATTCAGGCCAGAACCTGCTCTCTTAACCACAATAGCATACTAACTAAATAATGGGACTAAGTAAGCACAATTGTTCACTTTTAAAAATCTATTTTTGGCCCAGGCACCGGTGGCTCACACCTGTAACCCTACTTACTTGGGGGACAGATATTTGTAGGATTTTGGTTTGAGGCCAGGCTTGTTAAAAATCAAGACCCTAACTCAAAAATACTCAACACGAAAAAGGACTATTGGAGTGGCTCAAGTGTTAGAGAGCCTACCTAGCAAGAACAAGGCCTTGAGATCAACCCCCAGCACTGCAAAAAAGTTTATTTTTAATTCATGAGGAAAATGTTTTTAAAAGCAAGCATTGCAAGTCAGACATGGTTGGCACATGCCTGTAGCCTCAGCATTCAGATAGCTGAGGCAGGAGGACTTCGGGTTCCAGGACAGCCTGGGCAATACAGTGAGACTGCTTAAAAAAAAAAAAAAACAGGCTCCTCATTGTGATCCCACTGGTTGTTTGGACACATTAAGATAATGTGCTTCAGCAAGCTAAACTTTCCAGAAACTTTTTCTTTTTTAATTTTGAGATAGGATCTCACTATTACAGCTGACCTTGCATTCACTTTGTATCCCAGGCTGGCCTTGAACTAAAGCTTCTTGTCTTAGCCTTGAAAGTGCTGGGATTATGGACGTGCACCCCCAAATCCAGCTGTTTTCCAGCAATTTTTGTTTCAAAGGGTGACTATAAGGAAGAAAGGTGCAGTCAGCCAGACTAATTTTTATCAGCAAGGCAAGTAAAACAATGCCAAGCCCCATTCCTGTATTTTCTATTTGCTCTCAGATTAACCTAGTAACGATGGATCGATGCAGAGGGTTAATTATACTGAGAGCTGGTCTTAGTAAGGACAATAAAAAGGAGGGTTAGCTGGAAACTAACTGTTCCTCCAAGGCTTAGTCTTTTTTTTTTTTTCCTACCCAGTCATCTACCATCCTCTTGACCTCCACCAATTTTCTTCAAAGGGGGGGGTGTGTGTGTAATTCTTCTCTTTTCTGCGACAAATTACAAACCCATATTTTAGTTTCCTAAGGTAAAAGGGTAAAAAATACTCCTTATCACACACTGTGAAAAAAAATCATCTTTGCCAGGTGCCAGTGACTCATGCTTGTAATCCTAGCTACTCAGGAAGCAGAGATTAGGAGAATCTTGCTTCAATGCTAGTCTGGACAAATAGTTTTCAAGACCCTATGTTGAAAAAAAAATCACTAAAAAGATCTGGTGGAGTGGCTCAAAGTGTAGACCCTGATTTCAAACCCCAGAACTACACACCACACACACACACACACACACACACACACACACACACACACACACACACACTCAAAGTCATCTTTGACATAAAAAGCCAATAAAAATGATTGTGTATAAGGGAAAATCATTCAGAATCTATGCTATTCAGGATACCATAGTTTTTGAAACATCAGTAAGACCTTGGAGTCATTTTCTTTAGCAGTTAAATAAAAAACATTTACACGGCACCAGAACCCCTACTTTCCCTATTTTATGTGAATTGTGTGCATGATCTAGCAAGATGTTTAAATTTACCTTTCAAGGCTTTGAAAATATTAACATGATAAATGCATAGCATAAAAGCGTATTTTATAATGTACATCATTTGCTTTTCCTTTTTCAAGAACGTACATCACTCCATTTGCCAGTCTAAACATTACATTTTATACGTAAGGGGAAGGAAAAGGGAAAAGGTCACTTTTTTGCTTGTTACTGATCAGATTCTTAGCAGGTGCACTTGGATTTTTTTTTCCACAAAGAAATTATTTTTCTATCTGCTAATTACCTTGCTGACTGCAAAATGTGTTTATATCACATTTCTTTAGCTATTTGCTCAAGGGCTATATGAGCCCTGAACTGTAATCTGGCTTCCATGGAATAGTCTTTATAGTTCTTTATGTTGTCTAGGTTTTTGGTTGCACGGGCATAATCTCCTTTTAGGTAGTGTAGAATTCCCAGTTCGTAGTAAGTATATGGTACCAAATAGTGGTCATATTTTAACAATTTCTCCTTCTGAATAACACGATTAAAGTAGTATTCAGCCTTCAAATATTTGCCTAAGTGTTTCAGACACAGACCTTTCAGCAAATTTAATAAACTTATGTCATCTGTGCCATACTCCTCATTTGGATTTTCTTGCAAAAGGTCTTTTCCTTTATCAATAATTGTTAGCCACCTTGAAATCAGTTCTATTTTTTTGCTCATGATTCGGAAACCACTCCAGGCATAAACGAATTCCAGAAGCGGCTGTGCTGTAAACCAGCCTGTAGTAGAACCATAGCGCTGGCCTTTCTCAGCAACAAACTTTTCTATTGGCACAGAAGTACCTAAGATTTTGATTCTCAGGTTATTGACATTTAAGAAGAGAGTGCTCATGTCCTCACGTATTGATTTTGCAATCTCAGAAGGAAGCACGGCCAGTATGATAGCTTTGCTATACACATACATTGCCTTGGACCATTTGCTATGTTGAGACAGTAGACTGGCATAGTGGTAAGCCTGCCTCCAATTCTGCAGAAAAATGTGGCACCACATGAGTTCCCAGTAGCAGAGGTGGTGAACCTGCTTCCATTCATTCTGAGTGAAAATGCACTCCTGTAATTTTAACTGTGCCCTTTCAAAATTTCCTTTCAGCATACTAAAACGTGCATGAAAAAACTTAAGGACAACACAGTTTGGAAATTTCTTCAGGTAGATTAGAAAAAGATTCTCTGTAGGAGAAGTGGAAGACTTTTCAACACCAAAAGCTACATGAACATAATTGTAATAAAAGAGTAGAGTGAAAACACTTAACATATAATTTATGTGGGGTACAGATGCACTCTCATGAAGCAAAGCCAAGCCTACCTCTCTTTCACCAGAATATCCAACCATATTGAGAAGTTTAAGTGTCTTTGGTGGCACAAGCGATAACATCAGATTAAATGCTCCAAGTCCAAATTTTATTCCTCCATTCAGGTGTCTGTGGGTTTTGCTTTGGTTGTTAGGCAGAAGTGTTAACACATGCTGACAGTCTTTGTATATTTGGTAACTTGACCCAACACTGATGCCACTTTTAAGAAAACCAAGCAAACTGTCATCCTGTATAAATGCTATGGATGATTTCAAGATCAAACACTCAGCATAACAGACTTCTGCATGCAATTCCTCTTCTTTGATAGCCTTTATTCCCTGCCTACTTACCAGGCGAGATAAAGACATTATCCTAGGTCTTTTCCGGAAACTGTTGCAGGTTTTCAAAGCTTCCTTTGCAACGGACATTCCAATCTGAATATCCTGTGGATCAAAAGTCAGGATGGCCTTGACAACCATAAGCATACTATATATTAGGGCATGGTACGTGCTGTTTTTAGACCATGGGTGTATGAGATTTATTGCATCTGAGAATCTGTTATTTAGAAATAAGTACAGTCCAGTTGTGCATTCTTCCAAGGAAGATACTAGATCCATTGTTGTTGCCACAGGGATAATTTCATAGGCATCTTCAAACTTCTCCTCCTGATCACTTTCTCTTTTATGTAGAGTAAATGGTCTACTTAATTTGAGCTTCTGATCATTTTCTTCTTCAGACAGAGTAAGGGACATATTTAACTTGTCCTCCTGATCATTATCTCTTTTTCCTAAAATAAGTGGCATATTTGCTTTACCACTTAGAGATGAGAAATATCTGAAAATGGGTGATGGGGTTGCAATGAGAGTAGCAGCTGCTTTCCTGACCAGGACCTCTTCTTTCACACAAAGCTCAGTCCAAGGTGTTGCTGTTAAAATGGAGGTAAATGCATGACTAGAAGTGAGGTGCAGCATTAGGACATTCTCATCTATGTCAGACAAGGGGGAAAAAAAGACAATTTTATATAGATGCATTTCTGAATAGTTCAAATCATTTGGAATATACTAAAGGAAACATACTCTTTGAAAACACTCCAAAGAAAATCCTTTGTAAAGAGTTTTTTCGCAACCATTTCTCCAATATATCAATTTCATAAAATCATGCTTTTGTGGCACTAAAAACATACAATTGAGAAAAAGCAGCCTCTTCAACAAAAACTGCTGGGAAAACTGGTTAGCAGTCTGCAAAAAACTGAAACTAGATCCATGTATATCACCCTATACCAAGATTAACTCAAAATGGATCAAGGATCTTAATATCAGACCACAAACGCTAAAGTTGATACAGGAAAGAGTAGGAAATACTCTGGAATTAGTAGGTATAGGTAAGAACTTTCTCAACGAAACCCCAGCAGCACAGCAACTAAGAGACAGCATAGATAAATGGGACCTCATAAAGCTAAAAAGCTTCTGTTCATCAAAGGAAATGGTCTCTAAACTGAAGAGAACACCCACAGAGTGGGAGAAAATATTTGTCAGCTACACATCAGACAAAGGACTGATAACCAGTATAGGGAACTTTAAAAACTAAATTCTCCCAAAATTAATGAATCAATAAAGAAATGAGCAAGTGAACTAAACAGAACTTTCTCAAAAGAAGAAATTCAAATGGCCAAAAAACACATGAAAAAATGCTCACCATCTCTAGCAATAAAGGAAATGCAAATTAAAACCACACTAAGAGTCCACCTCACCCCTGTTAGAATAGCCATCATTAGCAACACCACCAACAACAGGTGTTGGCAAGGATGCGGGGAAAAAGGAACCCTCTTACACTGTTGGTGGGAATGTAAACTAGTACAACCACTCTGGAAAAAAATTTGGAGGCTACTTAAAAAGCTAAACATTGATCTACCATTTGATCCAGCAATACCACTCCTGGGGATATACCCAAAAGACTGTGACACAGGTTACTCCAGAGGCACCTGCACACCCATGTTTATTGCAGCACTATTCACAATAGCCAAGTTATGAAACAGCCAAGATGCCTCACTACTGATGAATGGATCAAGAAAATGTGGTATCTGGCCAATAGGAAAAGGAGACCAGGAACTAGAGAAAAGGTGAGATCAAAAAGAATTAACCTAGAAGGTAACACACACACAGAGGAAATTAATGTGAGTCAACTCCCTGTATAGCTATCCTTATCTCAATCAGCAAAAACCCTTGTTCCTTCCTATTATGGCTTATACTCTCTCTACAACAAAATTAGAAATAAGGACAAAATAGTTTCTGCTGGGTATTGAGGGGGTGGGCGGAGAGGGAGGGGGCGGAATGGGTGGTAAGGGAGGGGGTGGGGGCAGGGGGGAGAAATGACCCAAGCCTTGTATGCACATATGAATAATAAAATAAAAAAATAAATAAAATAAATAAAAAAAAAAAGAAAATGTGGAATCTATGCACAATGGAATTTTATGCAGCCATGAAGAAGAACAAAATGTTATCATTTGCCGATAAATGGATGGAATTTGAGAACATCATTCTAAGCGAGGTTAGCCTGGCCCAAAAGACCAAAAATCGTATGTTCTCCCTCATATGCGGGCATTAGATCAAGGGCAAACACAACAAGGGGATTGAACTTTGATCACAAGATAAAAGCAAGTGCACACAAGGGAGGGGAGAGGATAGGTAAGACACCTAAATAATTAGCTAGCATTTGTTGCCCTTAACGCAGAGAAACTAAAGCAGATACCTTAAAAGCAACTGAGGCCAATAGGAGAAGGGGACCAGGAACTAGAGAAAAGGTTAGATCAAAAAGAATTAACCTAGAAGGTAATACATACGCACAGGAAATCAATGTGAGTCAACTCCCTGTATAGCTACCCTTATCTCAACTAGCAAAAACCGTTCCTTCCTATTATTGCTTATACTCTCTCTTCAACAAAATTAGAGATAAGGGCAAAATAGTTTCTGCCAGGTATTGAGGGAGTGGGGGGAGAGGGAAGGAGTGGAGTGGGTGGTAAGGGAGGGGGTGGGGGCAGGGGGGAGAAATGTCCCAAGCATTGTATGCACATATGAATAAAAAAAATAAAAATTAAAAAAAAAAGATCATGCTTTTGTGTATTTTGTTGCAGAACTATACTGTGATAGCTAGAAAATCTCTCAATAGGAAGGTCTGGAGGGACAAGAATTTGGCTGGAAAGGGGAATGTATTCATATAGTTCTCTAGTTAAGAGTAAGGAAGTTGTTAATTGTCCAGACCAAGGAAAAAATTACCAGAATGAAAAATGCTATTGTTAGTACCATCACATGCTATTCTTAGTACTGTCACTGCATTTGTATATTTTCACTGAAAACTAGGTCTTAATAAAATTAAATATTTTATGGTCCATTTTACAGGACATTGGATATGGGGACAGCTATATAAACTAGAAAAATTTCTTAGCAGCATTGCAGTTAAAAAAAAAATTCAAGCTAGTCGCTAGTGGCTCATGCCTATAATCCTAGCTGCTCAGGAGGCAGAGATCAGGAGAAACACGGTTCAAAGCCAGCCCTGAGGCTGTTCAAGAGACCCTATCTTGAAAATACCTAATACAGAAAAGAGTTCCAGAGTGGGTCAAGTGGTAGAGCAAGCGAGAGGCCCTGAGTTGAAGATCCAGTCCTGCAAATAGCTCATCATTACTGTAGTATCTTAGTAGGAAAAGTCTTCTTCTACTAGGAGTCGCTTAACACTCAGTTGGGGTGGGCATAGTGAAAGACCAATTACAAACAGCAAGCTATTTAATAACAGTTTCAAATTAATCTGTTTTAAAAAGTAGAAACAGCAGCTTGGCATGATGGTGCATGCCAGTAATTCCATCAATCATGAGGGAGGATCACAAATTTGAGGCCAGCCTGAGCTACATAGTGAATTCCAGGCCAGCATGGGTACATACCAAGACCCTGTCACAAAAAACAAACAAAGTAGAAAAAGGAGGTGTACTACCTTCAGTGTTTAGTTATAACACTTGAATCATTAAAATGCTTTACAATAATTGTGTACTTTAGGATGTATCTAAATTCTGTATTTTGATAATAGACAAGAGAGAGGTAGAGTGAGGATAATCAAAGGAAAAGAAAAAGGGAGAAAGGCAGAAAAAAGATGTAGATTTTTTTATATTCATCTACAGCATTTTTTTTTTTTTGGCAGTACTGGGGTTTGAACTCAGGGTTTCAGGCTTGTGAAGCAGATGCTCTATCACTTGAGCCACTCCTCCAGCCCAAGATGTAGATTTTTATGCTGAGGGAGAAAGGAAAAACAGAGGGAAAACATGTTACATTTGAGGGAGAAAAAAAAAAATAGGGAGGATGCCCTTAGAGGTGTTATTTTAGCAAATGCTTATTTTTACACCTTACAGTTATATTTCAGAGTATTAGCAACTCTGATTGCTATTCTTTGAAAAGCAAAGTTAATTACGTATATAAATGAAAGACTCGGTTCTTAGTGGCAAAGCCAGGCCTTCCATTGGGAGGGGACTTAAGCTTGGGGCAGCAATAGCAGTGGTTGTCTCAGGGCTAGGGCACTTGCCTAGCATGCATGAGGCTCAGAGTTCTACCCTCAGCACTGCAAAGAGAGGAAGAGGAGAAGAAGGTAGTGGTGGAGGAGGAGGAAGGGAAAATGACAGTAGAGAAAATGATCAAAGTGATCCAGAGAGACCCAGGTGACAATCAGATTCAACCCAAGGCAAGTTTTTTTTCCTGTGACCTAACCAAAATGCTTTCCAATTCTATTCCATATAGTATTCATTTTCTGGTCAAGACAGCTCAAATTTTACTTTTTCTGAAAACTTGTCTAACTCTGTCAGCATAATCACTCTCGCAGCATTCTGTGTATGTTTTGATTAGTGTCTCTGTCACTATAATTATATATATTTAGCTCTAACCTGGGAGCTTCAAAGCATAATTTGCATTTTATTCAGCTTTCTATCCCATTTCTAGCACATTTTTATGAGCAGAGTTGGCATTAATGTTTGCTAAGTGAGTTAAGTTGTCCACAGAATATTTCTAGAAATTTCTTTGTTTGAGAGGGGGATTATTTATTTATTTATTTATTTATTTGTATTGAGGACTGAACCCAGGGCCTAGTGAACTTTATCATTGAGCTACATCTTCAGCCGCTCTAGGAATTAATTTCTCTCTCTCCCTCTCTTTCTTTCTTTGCAGTACTGAGAATTGAAACCAAGCCCTTGCAAATGTTAGGCAAATGCTCTACCATTAAGTTACATCCTAGCTCTTTTTAAAAACTTTGAGACAAGATTTTGCTAAGTTGTCCAGCCTAGCCTTGAACTCTCCATCCTCCTGCCTCAGTCTTGAATAGTTGGGATTACAGGTATAAGCCACCATGCCTAGCTTCTAGGAATTTGTTGAAAGTAAATTATGAATTCAACTTTCTGCCACATAATCTCAAAAAACACATAAAGATACAGGCATACTAGGGTAGAGGATATATGTATCTCAGTGGTAGACTATGTGCCTAGCATGCACATGGCCCTAAATTAAATCGCCAGCACTGAAAAAAAATTTATATATATATAATTTATATATATATATAATCATACTAAATTCCCTGTCATAAGATTTGGTATTTTTTGTCTAATATTTTTTGGACTTAATTCTATTCCCCACTTCAGGGATTAATACTTGCATATTCAGTGACATAAACTTTCAGAGATATTCAAAGAGGGATGTATTTATATTTATTCTCTGTTCTTAATGTTCCCATAAGGGGAATTTTCTGCTAGATGAATATGTCTGGCTAGTGGGTTGAC